ACACTCCCAGTCCAGTCACAGGCAGGCAGACTCAGAACGCGGGTCCCACTTCAAAGGCCACCTTACTTAGCAGGTGACCCTGATTCCTGTGTCGCTGAGCACAGACACCCTTAGAAGCTTTCCTGTATCCCACCGCTCCGTGGTTATCTACATTTGACTATTATTTACCTACATCTACATGACGCATCCTGTCCCAGCACGTGCACACACACACACACTCACACACCTGGGCTCCCCATTCTCCCCAGTGCCTCTGCCCTTGTCCTTCTCTGACCCCCAGCCCCTCCCTTCCTCCCCTCCACCCCCGGTTCCTTCCTTTTCACCTACAAACCCGTTCATTTTGTCACCCAAAATGCACTCTCCCTTGTCTCTGCCTTGAGCCACCACAGCCCCGCCTGAGCCTGTCCCCTCGGCGCCACCATCACTCCAGTGCCTCAGGCCTGGGCACCCTGGCTCTGCAGTGTATCATCAGACTTCAGACTCAGGGACAACGATGCTCCCTGGACAGCATGTGTGCTTGGTGAGCAGAGCCTGAGTTACACCGTGTGGCTGCGGCTGGACGGCACTGGAGGTGAGCAGCACGTGTGGGGGGCGCCCGAGGCCCCAACCAGTACCCACCACACAGGACGGGCCTTGCCGCAGCTTGGAGGGGCTGAGGCAGTTGGTACACATTTCAAGTGCCTGAACAATTATGGAATACGTAACAGTGACCTTAGGTGGCCTACACAGCCAAGAGTGCTTACCGTCTGCCCTTTACACAAAGTTTAGCAACCCTGCCCAATGTGAGGAACGGGGAAGAACTTCAAACATTTATGTTAGTGCCCTGAGTTTCAGAAGACACTGCAGCTATTAAAATTGAGTCATCAAACAACAGGCAGTGATGACGGTTAGAGATCACTGCCAGAACAGTCCACCAGACGTGGGGCGGGGGCAGGGGTGGGGGGCGGGCAGGCAGGCTGGCACTGCGGTTTTCATTATAATGTCTTCTGGCCTGTTTGCTTAGAAACTTCCTCTTACAGAAAGTGACAGTGAAATCACTGGAGGGGTAGATACAACATGGGAAGTAAGGTCTCCTAGAATGGAAGGAAGTCACGAGTCTCCAGAGGAAGCAGCTCACTGTGTCCGGGCAGGGCAAGTGGAAAAGGTCTTACTCTAGACACATTCTTGCGAAAAAGAAAAATTCGGGAATAGATTTCAAGTTTTATGAAAAAAAAAAACAGGTTGGCTACAAAGTGACATCAGATTTAGACCTGGAAATTACAAGCACTGAGACTACTGCCTTCAAGTTCTGAGGAAAATGATGGTGGACCTGGAACTCTACATGCAGCAAACAATTAAGCAGAAATGCAAAATAAAAGACAGGCAAGGATTCAGAAAGCATGTCTCCCACGCAGTCTCTGAGAAGCTCAGCTAAGGCTTTTAGCAAATCAATCAGGTGGGGAGGGAGGCTGCTACCCGCCCAGGGGCAGAGGGCAGGCCCAGGACCATGTGGCAGGTCTTGGAAAGTACACAGTCCGAGTGAAAACAGTTTCAGAGGGTCTAAGAAAACATCTTTGAGAAAAAGTTGGACTTGAGTGGAGAAGAAAGAGGAAAGTTGCAGATCTCAGTGGTCAGACAAAGGCAGGTTTCCTTTGTTGACATGGCAGGTAAAACCTCCAGGGAAAAGAGCTGGCCACAGTCCAGCCATGGTCCAATATAAAGCAGCCTACACGACCTGCACACTGGGCACATGAGGAGTGTGATGCTCAGAACATCCCATGAGCTGCAGTGCTGCACAATCACACTTCCTTTGGGCCAGGCACACTCCTTGGGCCCAAGAGGGCAGATTCTCATTGGGTCATATGTGCCAGTTATGAGTTTTCAACTTCTAGACAGAACATGTGATGCCACCTGGCCACAGCTGTCAGAAATTAGAAGAGGGGGAAGCCCCAGGGAGTATAGGCATCACTTACTCACTTCCATCCATTTTCTTCAGAAAAAGTAAATTCATGCATTGAGAACATGGAGGTTTCAACATATCATTTACATAAAGGTAAATATTAAAACTGACAATGATGTGGCAAACTGCCTTCAAGTTCTGAGGAAAATGATGGTGGACCTGGAACTCTACATGCAGCAAACAATTAAGCAGAAATGCAAAATAAAAGACAGGCAAGGATTCAGAAAGCATGTCTCCCACGCAGTCTCTGAGAAGCTCAGCTAAGGCTTTTAGCAAATCAATCAGGTGGGGAGGGAGGCTGCTACCCGCCCAGGGGCAGAGGGCAGGCCCAGGACCATGTGGCAGGTCTTGGAAAGTACACAGTCCGAGTGAAAACAGTTTCAGAGGGTCTAAGAAAACATCTTTGAGAAAAAGTTGGACTTGAGTGGAGAAGAAAGAGGAAAGTTGCAGATCTCAGTGGTCAGACAAAGGCAGGTTTCCTTTGTTGACATGGCAGGTAAAACCTCCAGGGAAAAGAGCTGGCCACAGTCCAGCCATGGTCCAATATAAAGCAGCCTACACGACCTGCACACTGGGCACATGAGGAGTGTGATGCTCAGAACATCCCATGAGCTGCAGTGCTGCACAATCACACTTCCTTTGGGCCAGGCACACTCCTTGGGCCCAAGAGGGCAGATTCTCATTGGGTCATATGTGCCAGTTATGAGTTTTCAACTTCTAGACAGAACATGTGATGCCACCTGGCCACAGCTGTCAGAAATTAGAAGAGGGGGAAGCCCCAGGGAGTATAGGCATCACTTACTCACTTCCATCCATTTTCTTCAGAAAAAGTAAATTCATGCATTGAGAACATGGAGGTTTCAACATATCATTTACATAAAGGTAAATATTAAAACTGACAATGATGTGGCACGGGGCACGGGTAGGGCATGGGTCCCCATGGGCTGGCTGATGCCTCCGCTTTTACAAGGGAGGGGAGGCTCTAGGAGGTGGGAGGTGCAGCCATCATGTCTTAACAATCTGTGACTCATTAGTTTTATTTATACCATAGTTTCAGCAAAAATTCAGGAAGCATAGTGGGTATGCGAAGAGGTCCCCATCCTCTGTCCCGTCTCCTGGGCTGCAGAGCGCAGCCTGCGATGTCTGCATGGCCCAGCACCCTCCTCCAGGCCTTCCTCACACCACATGTCTCGTCACCCACTACTACCAGTGTCCAGGTCTCCTCTTGGTCAAAGCTTCACAACAGCCTTCTGCAGACGCCACTGAACCAGCCAGCGGGTGGACCCTCAGGACTCTGTTCTGCACCTGCTGTTGAGGGATGGGGAATCATTCCCCGTGAGCAGAGGGCATGGTGGGGAACCCTGGCTGCTGGCTGGTGGAGCCCTGCCCCAAGGCTGAGGCTGCCTGCCTCCCGGACCACATGAACCCCAGCCACTCGGACCCTGTCCACCCCGGGTCCATGGCGGCTTGTCACCCTGTCCTGGGGCTTGGACACTCCAGGGGGCTTGCCGACTGCACGCCAGTTTCCCGCTTTGAACCCCGGCTTCTCTGAAGCATACCCAAGGCCTGCAAGCTCCCTCCACAGGCGGTGCTCTCCAAGCCCGTGGCCGCTGGCCACTCCTAAAGGTCCCCGTGCTGCTCTGCCAGCCCTCTGTCCACCAGGTCCTGTCCTCCCAGCAACGCCAGACCACCTCCAAGCCCTTACCACTTTCCACCTCTTGGCCAGCGCCCATACATCCCCTCCCAGTTGATCCTGGGATCGTGTCCTAGCCTACCTGTCCCTCACTCAGCACTCAAACCCGGGACAGACCCCCAAGGCACCCCCTCCCCTCTGGGTGGCCTCCCCACAGGTTGGCCCAATACCTGCAAAGCCCCCCTTCCTCCAGGACCCCAGGGCTGACTTGTAGGTCTGCACTCAGTCTTACTTTTATCCAAAAGTTTTCCAGCTTTTAAAACTGTTCCCTGGGTAGACTTTTAAGAACATCACTTACCATTTGTAACAAATAAAACGATCTTAATTCATGAGTAGACTTTTTTCCACTTTGAGCATTAAAAAATTGGGTCTCATGTTTTCTTACATTTATGGCTTCATTAAAAAAAAAAAAAACAGATCTTTGACACCTGGAATTTTAGAATTAAAAATGAATGTAGTTCAACTTTGTTATTCTCAGGTGGTAACGCAAACCTGTCCCTGGCAGCACCCATACCCCAGCCGGACTCTGTTCAGCGCCTGACTGGGCCCAGGGAGCCTGTGTGCCCTGCCAGCAGCAGCCATCTCACTTCTGCTGTGTTGTGACAAGGTTTTAAAACCTTTTCTGGCTATTCTTGTCTATTTGCTCTTCTGACTTCAGACTCAACTTTGCATCTGTGTTTTAACACGAGGGAGTTTGGCATCTCGCGATGCTGCGTGGGTAAACGGGTAAACAGGAGAACAACCCCCTGCCTTCCCTTACGCAGGTTCTCTCTGTATCCTAAGTCAAAGTGTTTTCATTTGGATATTTTGTGCTGGCTACGTATTTTGTCATTTTTGTTGCTATTGAAACAATCATCTTCCATTTTATCTTGACTTTTGTCAATTTTGTGTTCAGTTAAAAACTTGCTTAACTTTTTTTCCTGGTCATAGCTTTTCAGCTGCTTTCCTTAGATTTTTGGAATACGCTACCATTTATCCATAAATAGCCTCACCTCCTTTCCAATTTTATGATTTTTCTTGTCTAAGTGCCTTTTCTCTTCAATCACTTCCTCTATACTATCTGTTTTGCCACACTGACCTTTAATCCAATTGAATGACACTGGTAAGTGAGAGAACAGAAACAATCACAAGAGAGGGCAGAGTGTGCCGCTCTGAATCACCAGGAGCCCAAGGGCAGCCTGCAGACCTGTGGACCCTGCGCTGGGAAGCAGTCTGCCCCAGGGCATGGGGGAGGACCGTCCCCAGGGCGGTGGTGGGTGTGGCCCTGCTACTGGTCCTCCACTTGCTGAGCTGGTGACAGAATCTACGTTGCTAGAGTGATGGGAGGAATGTTCAGTTTGCATACCACAAAGTGTAATTAGTGTAATGTTAAGGCCAATTAAACTGATTTTATTCAGGTAAGTCTACATTAAATTACAATATTGACACTCTCTAGAGACAATGAACTTAAAACTTGACTAGTAAAAATCTCTTTAGTCTTTTACAGACCACACACTACAGAGCTCACAAATGAAAATTCACAGATACAGAAATCAGGATGATACCTAAGAATGAGGATTTTCATATGGAAGCCCACAAGATATCAGATTTTAAACACGCATGTTTCAAAAAGGGAGAATCTTTTAATAATTTAGCACAAAATCAAATTATATAAACTTTGTATATTCCAGAAAATATTGCTTTAAACACTTATACCATGATCAAAATTCCTTTGGTAGCTTTTAATCAAAATGAAACATGCTATTATGTAAAATATAAAGTACTTTTAGATGTTACCACAAAAGTATCTTTGTTACAGCTACAATGACAGCCACTCCCCTCCAACCTCACTTGTATACATACACATGTGAAGCCAGGTGCCAACGAATCCTTTCAATCTGACAAAATTATCTCTGCCTCCCCACAGCAAGACTCCAAGTTCCCTACAGAAGTGCTTGCAGCGGCCCTTCCGTGTGCACGGCTGTGAACACAAAACCAGACTTTCCCAGAGCAATCACACAGTGGTGCAATTAAAGCAATCAAACAGGACTGCTAGACTCAGTCTCAGAATGGGAAACACAAACACACTCAAACCCTTCAACAGAAAATTCACAAGTAACTGTGGAAATAAAGCCGCCAATGGCTTCATGGCATCAACACGTCAGACCCAATGCTGTCTTGGCATGGCAGAGACCTTACCGAGAAACCTCATTATAAAGAAACCGGTCCTCAAAGTTGGAAACTTTCTGAAAATAAACGAAACAGATGCCAGCATAGCTTGCGTAACTGATTAGCCTGTTTCAACACTGACCGTTTCCTCCTAATGTCTCTCGGCTACAGGATCTTCTGGTCCAATCTCACAGTCATTCTGCAGAGCAACTGAAAAGATTTAAATGCCGAGAACAACCAGAGGGAAAGACACATTTACCATCTGCAGGCCCTTAGGTCTTGTCAAGCAGGGCCAGGAGCCACCTCCTGTCCTTCTGATCCACAAGTGCCCGCGCTGGCTCGGTCCCAGCAAGGTCCAGGGACAGCGCGGAGCACTCACTGCTCTGAGATGCCCTCTAGTGCCTCAAGGAGGGCGAGCGGCCGGCCAGCGCGTCAGGCCACGTAGTGGTACTGATTGGGACTGTCTCTGTCTCTCTCCATGTAGTCCCTGTCTATGAGAGATTCAATTCTCTTCTTCAAATCTCCAGGCTGAAAAAGAAAAAAAACCCCAATTATGCTGGCATTAAATTTACAAAAAAGGGAATATAACACACATGAGCCAAGTGTGTGATTATAATTATGTATGTATATTACATAATTATGTCATTATGTATACTTATAAATTATTTACAAGCTAATTATAAAATGAATAGCACAAAACTCTCTACCTCAAACACAGTATTACTACCCACTGAGTTTCCTGTAAGAGTGGGGCTTCCTGGGGGAGTGGTGGCTCTGAGCCCCTCAGTCAGCAGCTAAGGACACATAAGCATGACAGATCCTAGGGGACGCATTTCTGTACGCTTGAAAGGCAACTCTGCTATCCCAGGGCATTTTATCCTTGGCAAGGACATTTCTCCCCAGGTACCATGCTGTGCTGTTACCATTTACTCCACAAGCTGCTTACATGGTACAACCACAGATCCTGAGTCCGTCTGTTAATAAAACAGCTGGCAAAAAAAAAAAAACACAAAAAAAAACAGCTGGCAGAGCTGAGGTACCCAGCCAGGAGGAGCGCCCATGCTGACTATAAGCACACATTTCCTGGGTGAGTGTGTCTTCCCATCTTCCAAAAGGCACACATTCCCACTCGGTGACAGAGGAGACATTTATAAGATGTGTCTGAAGCCCAGTTACCTGTCAAAGCCACCCCAGGTGCCATGCACGGCTAGACCCCTTGCCATTTAGTCCTTTGTTTAATTGCTGGGTTTCTCATCTGCAAAGGGGAAAGTCAACCCTTGCCCTGGCAGGTGGCAGGAAAGAGGCACTGTTTCACGACTGTGCAGAGCACATGCCACCACAGGAAGGCGCAGGAATCCAGGTTAGTCGGATGGCCCTCCTGCCCGCAATCTCAGTGCTGGCTCACTGGCCCAGCTCCAGTGACTTCCAGTGACCCCTCCTTGATTCTCTGGTGAGAGGAGGGTCAGCTGTTCTCCGAAGTGGACAACACAGAGTCAGGGAACTTCCACCCCAAAGCACAGACAGTGCTTTGGTCCCTGAGAGGCCAGGCTTCATCAGAGTCCCACACTTCCTAGGCCAATACGTGAATTTTAAAGAGCTTTTCCTAATGCTTTCCTGACAGTCCAAGGCTCCACATACAGGCAGGACAGGCCCAGACTGAAAGGTTTCAGGGCCAACTTTCCTACCTGACAGCATGAGGACATGTTGCTGAGGTGGGAAATGCCTTGGCTTGTGAAAGCTGAGTGATACTTGTGAGTATGATTTCCTCAGAGTCCCGTGAGATGACCTGAACTGCTGCAATTACTGAGAACATGCGTGTCCTGGTTTCCAGGGAGGCCCTCCCCTCCCTGAAAACACTGGCTGCACGGCATCCCCGCCGGCCGCAGTGGCGGGCATCCTCACTCCTGCAGTGACGACCAAGAACACTTGGGATCAGACTCCACGATCACCACCCGCCTTCTACACTTGGTGTAAACGTAAAGGATCCCGTCAGTGTAGGACAGACGATGTGACCCTGAAGGGACGGGATGAAATGCGCTCTGTCCGCTGTGTTCACACAGCGCCGCACGGTCGATCAGGCAACAGACACCCACCTTCACTGGGAATTTCAGCTGATCATACAGCTCGGAAACCAGGAGGTTGTGGCCGAGAGTCTTCCTCGTCTTCATTATTCTGACGATAGCGGCGTCGATCTGGTACTGCCTGTCCTGGAATACTCGCTCGGTGGTGCTCACCTGTTCTTCAACCTGGATGCGAAAACGATGGGAGTGCGAAGATGTGCTTCAGTGCTGATTATTTCCTACTGTTGTGTTTGATGAGAAAACTTTGATGCAAAGGCAGGCCAAACTTTGGATAAATCCTACTCTGTTATGCATTTTTATTTATTCTGATAAACTGACTTATCACAGAAACAGTGCAACTTCAGTACCAAAACTGGAAAAAAAGAATTTTCAAAGTTCCATCTCCCTTACAAAAAAGCTGCAAAAATCCTCTATGATAAAAAAAAAAAAGAATCCTCTATGATCATGGCTCAAACCAAGCAGCACAGTAAAGAAACAGAAAAAAATCACATGAGCCACCATAATTTATTCTAGGAATGAAGCGTTGCTCAGCAAAGGGAACCTACTAATATCACTGAAATCGTCATGAAACTTCAAGGTTGGATTATCTGATCACCTTGACAGAAGCTGCAAAGGCATAATAAAAGTGAAAATCTATTTGATTTAAATCTAGCATATAAGAAATAAGGAAAAGAACCTGACCCTGGCAACAGGCTGTTAGAAGCAAAATGCAAACACTGGTAAGGGCCTCGTCAGTCACAGAGCCACCTAATAGGAACCTGCAGAGGGCGGAGGCAGCAGCCTGTGTGTGTGTGTGTAAGGTAGGCGTGGTTCAAGCAAGATCCAAGCTTTTGTCTTATTTTCCAAGAGTGCCAGTGATCCCGAAACGTTAATGTTCTTGCGCTGGAGAGAAAAAGTTCAGCAGGAGGGGGTCTGGCAGGACCACGACTTTTTCAAGGTGCCAGTGAAGCAGCAGGAGGAGCTGAGGTCTGACCCCTTAGTACGATGCTGAGCGGGGAACACGGGACCTCTGCAGATGCACAGCAGAACCCCAAACCCACAAAAAACAACAAAATGCCATCAGAGTCAGTGAGAGTCATGTAAAGTGGCTGGACACAAGTAAATACACAAACAGTGTTATACACATACTGGCAATAATTAGTTATACATGCGGAGACATGTACGGCCTCTTTACGAGGTGCCAGTATTTCACTGGCCCTTTGGTGCCTCCCAAACCCTTCCTGGGTCTGACCCATCTCTCTATGACTGGCCTGGCCTGCCTCCTCACGTCTTACCTGGCTGGGCTTCCCCTTTAGTGGGAAAGCCTTCCCTGACCCATAGGGTCAGACTTGACCTCCCTGTGCTTCTCCACTGCCACTTTTATCTCAGTTGTGACAAGTTCATCAATGTGTGGTCATCTGGTACCTGTTTGCTGGATAAGACTCAAAACTCCTTGAAACAATGACTTATTCTTTATTATTAATGGCTGAATTCTCAGGGTTGCACAGAGGACCTGGCCCATAGTACGTGCTTAGTAAGTGTTAATTTAATAAGAAATATCCAAGACTTTAACTTGAAAATCTGAAGAAATTTATGCATATTCATGCATACACACATATTTATAAATCAGAAGATTTAGTATGATAAAGGTGGAAACTGAAAATTAATGTAATGCCTCTGATAAAAAATGTCAATGTTTTATTTGGAGGGGCAAAGACATGACAAAATCATTCTCAAGTTCACTGGGAGAAAAAATTTATGTAAATAGTTACATTGACTCAAATAATTTAGGTGCTGACTATGAAAACAGATCAACAGAATTTATAGAACAGAATTGAGAAACTGACCCATAATATGTGAACTTGGTATATAATAAAGATGAAAATTCAGATACGTTGTTGGAGACGTGTACTTTCAATTCAGTTTTGGAATAATGAGGTGTAGTTAGACTGCTTTCTGATACTAAAATTTCTACATTGCTGAAGAGATTTAAATGAAAAATTAGTAGAAAATACAGGTAAATATTCTTAAGATTTTGGGTTAAAGGAAGGTCTTTTTCTTAGGCATGCTCCCCAAGTCAGAGACCATAAAAGAAAAAGACTATATTTGAGAACTTGAAAATTTTCACATGTGAACAAACCCACTCAAAACAAAAAATTACCTGTCACAAATAACAAGGGATCAATGTCCTTAATATATAAAGACCATCTACTAATCAGAGAAAGAATATTCCAATAAATGTACCACTGACTTGAACAAGCAACTCATCAAAAAGAAAAAAATACAAATAGCTGCCCATAGAAAATAGCTGCATCAACACCTATCAAGTGCTTCTGACCAAGAGTTTTATAAACACTGTTCATTTAATTTTCACAACCGGAAGTAATAATATGCATATTTTTCAAAATGAGGAATTGAAAACTGCAAAGATCATGTAATTTGTATAAGCTACCGAATGGCGCAAAGACACACAGACAAAGTCACACTGAACGGCAAGGCCCGATTTCCATGCCTGGGGAGCAGGGGGAGAGGGCAGGCTACCCTCTCGTGAACGGGGAGACTGGAATCTGGTAAGTTAGGCCAGACTTCCCCTGGGAAATGAGTGGTCAGACCAACAAAATGGCACCTTCTTTTCAGCAATTCCAGGGTAAAGATTCACACTAAAGAAATGCTCTCACGGGGTTACATGAATGCCTGCACCAGGACGCTGACTGTGACCTTATTTCCAGTGGGGAGAGACGGCAGAACCCAGATGGACACCTTCCAACAAGGGCTCTGCCCAGCTCCCAGAGCCATACGTGGATCACTCTGGGCCCACTGGGTGCCAAGTCCTGACAGGAAAGAGCCCAGGGCAAGGAAGGGAAGGCCAGGAGGCAGCACACGCAGCGATCCCAGGAAAGGAAGATCGCAGGCACATCAGAGGAAAGCTGTGGAAGGGGCTGTCTCCGGGGAGGGGCTGGCCGCCATGGCCCCTTTGGGATTAAAGCTCCAGAATTCTCCATTTAATCAGTCTCTTATAAATTCCTAATAGCGAAAAAAGATGGATCAAAGGATACGTGCATGTAAATCTTTAACAGATATGTCAAATTAGCTACTAAAAACGCTGTACCAGTTCAAATATCTTAAAAAAAGAAGCCTGTTTTCCCATACTTGCCAACCATGGATATGACCAAACTTTTAAACATCTCCCAAACTGGTAGATGAAAAGTGGAATATTATTCTAATCTGAATTTTTAAGAAATTACTGGTGGGAATGAACATCTTTTACACACGCATCAGCTTCTGCATTTCTCCCTGTGTGACTGAGACCTGTCTCCTCACGGGGCCGCACCTGAGACCTGTAGGTGAGCAAAGCAAGATGCATCGGTGGGCCAGCGGGGGGCATCCTGCCATAAATGCAGGTGCTGGGGTGCGTCTGTCCCTCTGCCTAACAGCAGCTGGGGTGCAAGGGTGTCTGTGTCTGCGTTAGTAAGGCCCGGGGGCAGTGTCCCAGTGGACACGGGGTGCTTGAGAATCTGATCAAAACCATAGCTGCTGGTCTGGACACAGGGCAGGTCCAACGCCAGCGGGTCTGTGACACCACGACCACCCCCACTTCCATCCAGGAGGCTGCGGCTGAGGGAATGACTAGAATGTGCTATGCAAACAAAAGCCAAGTTCCTGGGCATTGCAAATGATGCGCTCTCTGTGCCAGCAGGACCTGATACGGGGGGGAGGCCACCTTACTAGCATGCCACTTGTGAACAGAAGTAACAAACCCATCTCATTCTGATTTTCATTGCTACTGTGAATATGAACCGAAAAAAGCTATATTAAAGTGAGGACGTTTGAAAACATAACGTGTTTAAATTAAGTATTTAAATGCTTCACAACTTCTAGTCCAGAAATTACTATAAAACTAACCATTTGTTGGTGAAAACGCCCTGTAAGAAAATGGATAATGTTTACGTACAGTTTCCTTCATCTGGATTTGGTTGATCTTTATCCGAAACAGCTTATGCTTGAACTCGCCATTGAAGACGAACCTGTCCCCATCTTCCACCTCTTTTCCTTTAGGGCTTTTAACCAGAACACGCGCTCTGCCACAGGCCAGGGACTGCAGCGTCCTTCGCAGCTCACTGTCCTCTGAGGGGGAAAAACCAAGCACAGGCCAGCACTAAAGTGAACAGCAATGTTCAAGTGGACAGCGGAGAACCGCCACCCTCCCCAGGGGACCAGCAGAGGTCAGGCGCATCTCCCAGAAACCGGGGCCCTCGGAGGCGACCCAGTCAAAAGAGACCATACCGATGCCCGTGGCCGTTCTTATCTCTTCGAAGCCGAACCCGTCCCCGTCATTGAACATGAGCAGCACCAGCGTCTGGAAGAGGGACACCTGGAACTCCTTCTTCCCCTGGAAGAAAGCAGGCATCACATGGGGCTAAGCACCTCCGGGGAATTTTAAGAGGTTTTGTTTTGCTCTCAAACTTTGCTGGGTGGGGAGGGCTAAGAGACTGCCAATCAGCCACCAAATAAGAAATGCTGATACGAGAATAAAATGACTCTGTGTTGCACTCAGAAATTCTTCTTCTGAAATAATGTTTCCTAAGGTAGTGAAAAGGTTCGCTGGTAAATCCTGTTGAACAAGAAGGGTGTTAGTGTCCCCACGCCCCTTTCTGGCCTGCAGGTCCTCTTGGTGACCAGGCAGGCATGTGATTTACATGCCATTGCAGGTGCGCATACACAGTTTATATGATAATGCACAGGTGATGTTTTTAATAGCTAGCAAAGTAGGAATTTTGTATTTTTCTGCTTAGTGTACATAATTGAATTTTACTTACAAAATTGAAGTTAAATGCAAATATAAAGGGGCTGTTTTGTGTCATGTTTTTCACTTATAAATATGTTGTATGCTTCTTAAATTAAAACTTTCAATAACAGCACTGCAACAAAAATTCATATTCAGTGAAAACATCTTACTAAAATGAATTTGCAAAACTGGAGTTTCTGCAACCAAGCCAGTGAGTTTAAGGTTTTCAAACGCACCGCCTCGCCACCTGCTCCTCCTAGAGTGGGACGCTGCCATTCCAGTTTTATTCCTCGTCAGTTTTACAGGCAGGAAGTGGCATTTTACCCTATTTTAATTTATAACCTTTAGAGAAGAGGTGGAACACGTGTTCATGGATGTCGACTCTTAATCTTGCTTTTATGAGTTGCCTCTTTACATCCTGTGCTTTTTTCCAATTAGGCAGATACTTTTCTTTTGTATTTATTTATTTATTTTTATTGATTTTTATCGACAGGAATAGTAATCCTGCAACCATTAAATTTTATTGACCTAGAAAAGCCAGTGCTGAGTTATATTAATCTTCTCCATTCTTTGCTACCAAAGTTTAATTATTATTTTAAAAACTCTAATAACGTACTTAGAAAATAAATGAAAAAGACAAGAACTTACTTCCTTAAACTCTGCCTTTAAAACGGCATGCCCCAGAGTAGCCTGCCACTGCAGTTTTCGGCCACTGTGCTTCCCGAGATAAAATGTCTTAAATACTTCCTGAAGCTTAACCATCTGCCAAGTGCAGGAAAACAGATTTAATTATGCTAAACACCATTGCCTAAACAATCACAGACCACTTGGTTCACAAAGGCTTTAAAGCTCTTCACAGCCACTGAGGAGTCAGGTCTGAATGGTGGCAGCCTGTTCTGCACCCTTCACCTGTGGAGGCCCTCAGGACAATGCTTGGACATTACATGTGGGAGGCTGAACTGGGGCTTACACAGACAGGATGTGCTCCGCAGTTTCTACCCCCCACTCCCAGGCTTCCTGGCCAGTGGCACGTACAAGACCCAGAGGCCATCCTCAGTCTCTGTCCCAGGGCCCAGCTGTGCCCTTCCAGGTCTCTACTCTCACTGCCTCACCTGTGGACCAGCAGTGACAAGGCCCTGGCCTGTGCCACTGAGGGAATGGCCTCTCTGTGGGCCACTGTGGCTGGACACGCATGTCCTGAATGCAATCACACAAGCCCAAACTGAGGCAATCTATGAAAACTAGCCTGTGTTTTTAGGGCAGGTGGGCACAGAGGTTCCATCTAGAGAGTCACACCTGGAGGCCAGGGCCATGGTGCACTGGGTGTGTTGGGCCTGGACAGAGGTGGCAGGCCACCCATGTGGGTGAGAAAGGCCATACAGGGCCTGCACACCAGGGACAAGCTGGTAACGCAGCGGACACACTTCCACAGAGAGACTCAGGGACGAGGGGGTGATGACAGCAGCCCTGGGTACTGAGTCTGGGAGGACTGTGCACATTCACTCAGGTGGGTGAGCAGACCCAGGGCCAGAGGCACAGTGCCAGTGGGGGCGGAGCTCATGGAGAAGGGTAGGGAGGGAGCTGGGAGGGCTCTGGAGGACGTGGGCATCTGGGTGCAGGTGGGGAAAAACAGAGAAGGAAACTATATGGGCAACTGGCCAGCAGGGTCCCACAAAGAAGGAAGAGACAGGACAGTGCGTGGGAATGTGAAGGACAACTTTCAGACGGGTTGTTTCTGATGAAGGACCCAGCTTCCATGACTCCAGGCCTCCGCCCACTCTGGAAGGCCCACCGCTGTTCAGCCCTTGGTCCCACACAGGAACCAGCACTTTCCCCATCATCTGGTGCTCTAACGGTGGGCCTGTGCTGCCCTGCTGGGCCCACTTTAGGTCTTCAGCCCAGGATTCTCCCTCATCTCTGCAAATGCCCAGAGGACCCAAGGCTGCGCTGACACAGGACGGCAGCCCTCAGCAGTGCTAGACACTGGCTCTCACATGCCTGACATGTCTGTGACGCAAGGAGATAACGAACAGACAAGAGCGCCCACAACCTGGGCAGTGGCTTTTAAGGAGAGTGTCTGTGAGGGTCAGCATGGGGCTGGCAGGTGAGTCAGAGGAGCTGCAGGCCACGGCAGAAGCGGGCACTTCAAAACGCCACTTTCCAGACTCTACAGGAACTTGCTGAATTTTGCTTGTCTGATTTAGGAAACCGCCTTAAATACTTCTTCAAAGATAATGTGTCTGTTCACAGAATGAGGGTAACGGAAAAAGTGACCGTGTATCGGAAGCCCTAATTACTAGAAACAAAGGACCAACAGTCTTTCAAGCACTTACTTCTGGAGTCAAGTGCACCTCCACAGGCGTGCATGTCGGCCAGTACCCCATGGTGAGGATGTTCACCGTTAGATCGATAGAGCCTGGGTCGCTCTGGTTCTGCATATACTGAAAACAAAGAGAATCCAGATAAAGTATGTTAGATTATCAAGAAAAATAACTTATTTTTAAAAAAGGAAATGGTGTGATTTTCAAAATACAGTTCAACATGTATTTCTTTTAGTCCCTAGAACACATTTCACTGACGCCAAGGTCACTTGAAATATTTTTTCTTCTCTGGTTATGTTACCAATAAAATGTACCAGTAGATTCACTTAAATTAACTTTTTGTTATGTTTTCTTGGGATTTTTTCTTTTCCTTTCTGAATTTAAGTTATTTGAATATAAGAGATAATAACTGTAATTTTTAAGGACAAGGGTTTTACATAATTTATATGATTTCACATAAATTCCAAGTGAGATACTTTAAAAAAACTTTTACTTGAAGAAAACACAACTTGCCTGCTTGAAGTGAATCATGATGTCCTTGGAGAGCTCCATGTCCTTGAACATGCCTTCCAGCTTGCTGGTAAAAGCCGCACCACACTCTGGGACACGGGGGGGCGGTGAGGCACCAGGACATGCGTGGGGCCACACTCCCCACGCGGAGCCCCAGGCCCAATGCTTACCGTGCTTTAATTTTGACAGCATAGACTTTTCAGCATCGACAGAGGCACTTTTTCCAACAAGGAGTCTTTTTGCCAAATCTTTTTTATAAAATGCTTCAAAGACATCTTTACCTATTTGCAACCAAGTGAGAGTAATGAGTCATTAGACAGTTAATATGCACACGTCCACTTTAGCTGGTGAAACCCCTAGGCGTGCTCACAGCTCTACGGCACTGAATCTATGAAATTCCGGCAAAGGACCGCTTCCAGCTACAACAGCGGGAGCTCACCCCCCCATTTCCCACGTTAATGTGGAAGTGGACATTCAGCTGACCTCCCCCAAGAGCCACGGGCCCCATACAGACATTCTGACCCCACGGCCCTTTCACGGAGCCCGATGTCAGTGGGACAACACGGAGCACGCCTTACCATGCAGGAACCGGAATATGATCATGATTTTGTCCAGCGTCCTCTCCAGTTCTTCGTCCGTGGCTTCTTTATTACCCGCTCGCAATTTCGAATCAACATGCTTTGCTGTGGGATCAGAAGTTTCAATTACATGAAAAACAAGGATTTGTTATGTAATACACCTTCTAAATAGGAGAAGGGAAAACTTCAATTTCTACAAGTGAAAACTGGACAGTAACATTCTAGAACCTTTTCAAAATGACATATTATGAGAAAAAGGAAAATTATGTGTTTTCTAAGATGGATAATTTCAAGACATGTGAGAATAAATACTTTAATTATATGCTTGGATTTTATGCCACATCATTGCTCCAGAAACTGGAATACCCCATCTTCAAGATGTGCTTCAATAAATTCGGATGACTTTCTTATAGAAAAAGGATTTTTCTTAGGGCTTGGAGGGGTTACATGTGAGGTGACACTGTCTCATCCCCGAGTGCAGAGGTCAGAGCCATTCAACTGGGGCTTTATGTTTCTGGGACCACACACAGCAAGTGCGCTCAGGAATCTAGAAGCCTGAACTTCCAAGAGTTGAGTTCATCTTTATAGAGACACCAGAGTCAGTAAAATGGTACACGGCCCAATTAAATTGCCTTATTGCTGCTTTTCTTAGTTTTCTTTATAATTTTTATTATGAAACATTCTGAACACACACACAAGTGGAAGACTGTATAATGACTTCACGCTCCTCCGATACACCCTAATCACTGAGAAGCCCGATTCTGTAGTGCTGTATTACACCTTTCTTTGCCCTTTGCCTCCTGTGAATTAAAAAAAATTCCAACTACTGAAATTCTGAGTCCAGAAATACATTTTGATAGGATGACATCAAAGTGGTAATTTAAAAAGTTTTTCATCTTAAAATATGCTCTTTTGAGACCCCATCCAATTTTACTCATTTCAATACTGATTAAAGGATGCAAAGACAATGACCAAATGGTATCTCATGCTAAATAAATACTCTCTACAGATTGATAAATTGTCCTTATAACAGAGGCATTCATACATAAGAAACCTTCTCGATCCCTTCTCTGAGCAGACATTACTTGTTTGTAATCAAGATGGAACTGCCAATCTCCACAACCCAAAAACAGCCCCTCCAGACAAGAAACGCGAACTGAACAAGCCCCTTCTCCCTCTCCTCTTCCATGAGGTCACGGTTCATTTCTTTACAAATTATGACTGTGTTCTCCCTTGGGGAACTGCCCCGACTCATGCACACATGTAATACACATATGCATACATGTGTAGACGGCTTTTTTTGAAAACGTGTGTCCTAATAAGGTGAGATTCCCCACCCTCCCAGTGAGGAGGTCTGTATTCTGGGAAGACGTGCTTGCGTTCCGCCCTCCTTCCCCTGTTAAGGAAGTGTGCAGGGCGCGCTCTCCTACCGATGAGCTCTGCAGGCTTGTTTGGCCTCTTGTTGATGAACGTTTCAAAGGACTCTTTCATGAGGCTGACGAACTTCTCATTCCTCTGGAAGCAGACCTCTACCACATGGTCCACCCTGTCCTTGAAATCCAGCAGGTCCTGCACCATGTCTTTATCCTTCTCAGGATTGATAACAATTGTTGTCCCAAAAGTCTACAGAAACACAAAGTCACCACAGTTTTGATATGTACATTTCTTCTGCTATCAATCATGATAGTTTAATATAAATGATTACTATTAGTGTTAAATATTAAATAATTTCGTAAGTTTCACAAATTCAGTTCACATTCTAAAAACTAAACAAATATACATTTAATACTGTTGTGTTAAAATTTTGCTTCTGTAAGAATTTATAAATTATTGGGAAAATGTCCATTGTTTTTTAAAGAACTTGACTTATAAATTCCTCCACAAAAAGTTAATTCCTGTTAATCTGCTTGGACTTGCCGACTATAGTCCCCTTCCTCCTCCACTTCTAAATATGAATAGCCCAGTTTTTAGCCTGCACTTTTTAATTAAGAAATGCTATATTAAACATTAAGAAAAGCCTAGGTGTGACAATAGCTAGGTGTCTGATGATATAAATTACCAGCCTAAGAGGTGTTAACTACAATTACTATTCCACATGTTAAAAAAAAGACAGACAAAAAAAAAAAAAAAAGACAGACAACATGCCCCAAACGGGGCTACCTGTGCTAAGCCCCATGTCACAGAAACAGATCCAATACCTAACTTGACTGTGGTTTCGGCCTCTCCCGGGAGTGGAATTGTGACCAGCCAACCCGGAGTCACCTGGTCAGGACTAGTCGTGTGATCTGCCAGAGGGACCCTCTTTGCCACAGCCAACCTGCTCTATGCCAGGAGCTTCCTTGCTCCCAACCCCTTCTGCTATCGTGCCTTCTGTTTTGTTCAGCAACTCAGAGCAACCTTCTATCTGCTACACTGGATGCTAACTCATGAATCAGTGAATAAAGACATCAAAGGTCTTTCCATGAATAAAGACATCAAAGGTCTTTCCATTTTATTCAGTCTAATTTTTTCTTTTAAGATGTCACACATGCATTTCTGAAAAGCTGGTGCCACTGCATACACACATGTATGTCCCTGTCATACACATGGAGGCAGATGACTGGAGGAGGTGGGGCTGAGTCCTTCCTCTGTACCCTTTTGTCCTGACAGCATCTGAGCCACACACACACACACATTGCAGGACCAACTTCCTCTGGACAGGGGCACCCCATGCTGAACGCAATGTAACTGCTTCTTGTTAATGGGCATTAGGAATGGTGGCCCTAGTGCTGGTTTTTCCTACCCAGACTAACTGGCCATAGGCTGGACTCTGCTTTGTTAAGCACCAGCTCCTGTTCCCTGAAGACTGTATGTGGGCAAACACTCCACCCCCTACCAGCCTTTCCATGGCATCAGGTCGTGCTGCTGGCCCGTCTCAGTGGATCAGGATCAGCTCAGCAGTGCTGTACAAAACCCCGGGGGTGTGTGTGCGTGGGTGCAAGCTTCCTACGCATACAGAGGTATGTGGCTCCAGGCCTGGCGACTGCTCAAGGCAGCATGCAAGCTCTCCTTTATCTTTCTTATTTAATTGAAAATTTTCCTGCAATAATTACAGATTCACATGCAGTAGAAACAGGAATGGGAGCCCTTGTACCCTCAACCTAGCTTCCCAGATGGTGAGACAGCAAAACGACAGAGCATCACCACCGGTGTGCTGGCATCGATGCAGCCCCCGTCTTTCCCAGACGGCCCCACCTTCGCCTGCAGATCATCTGGGTGTATACAAATTTCTCCCGACTTTATCCCCAGGCTGGTCTGTGTGTCCAGCATCACAAGGATTCTTCCTCCTCCTGCCTTTTCATGACCACATGCACGCATGAACACACGCACGCACCCTACAGGAATGGGCTGGTGCAAGTTTCAGCAACGAATCCGGGATTGCTAGGATACAGAGCAGCACATGCCAGCCCGACACAAGTGCGTGACTGCTCTCAGTGAGCAAAGGCACGGGGCCATGTCTGAAGGGCAGGAACACAAAAGTGACCGTGTTCTGAAAATCATGATCACAGAATTAAACCAGTACTTATGCTAATGGCAAACCGCCCAATAGCAGACTTTCAGGTCCCGTGTATACCTGGCTGGTATCCCATCAGTAATGGTGCTACCTTTCAAAAAAAAAAAAAAGGTCTGCACAGGTGGCCTGGAAAGAGATTGAAGGAGCTGCCCACCAACCACCTGCAGTGAGTAATGGCACAGCACCTCTGCCAGGGAGCCACCGTCCCCAGGGAGCCCCAGCCCACCTTGATGTAGTCGCTCCAGTGCTGCAGGAGACTCTGCTGCCCGCCCTTCACACGACTGAACAGCTGGTACATCTGAGTGAGGTCGGGCACTCTGTTCTCATCAAGCAACTGGTTCAGCCCTGAAGCCACACAGGAAAACATCAGCATCTCACATTAGAGGTCAGCACAAATACAAACTCAACTAGAACACAGTGTGTGCCACAAAGAAGTTAGCGTGTAGCTTAACGATTTGGGGACAACTGCTTACTGCTTATAGGCAAGGGGTACCCGCTGAGAATCTGGACAGACCCTGCCAGCTGAGCTTTATTTTTCTGAGCAGGCTGGGAGATGTGGTCTTCATTTCTCCAGGTCACAAAAGCCCTCTTATTTCACCGAAGTAGCAATGGTGTGAAAAACGCTCACACCGACTCTTTGACCTGGGCTGTTCATGACTCCAAGTTACTTCTGATTTAGTCCCTCCACTGGAAAGTACATTTGTCAAAGATAAGCTATCCAATCTAATCCTTCAGTTGATTAATTTCATTCAAACATATAAAAAACTGTTAGAGAAACACAGTTCTTTCTTATCAAATATTTTGAAGTACTTAACACAGGATTTAACACATTTTCGCTTTTTTAGGTATTTAAATTTTACAAAGCTTTTCTAAAACCGTACCACAATCAGAAGAGCTTTCACACCAGACTTCCTAAATATCTGCTTTATGATAACTATGGAGAGGCATCTAAGTTAGAGAGACTGTGAGCCAGTCATGCTGCCCCAGAGTCTCAGAATCTCCTGTAAAGTGGGCACAATGTCCACACAATGTCCTTTTACACATTAAAGGCAGAGTAAAGATGTGCAAAAATATAGAGTGGGACTATAATTACAGATGCTAAGGGCTCTAAACATTTGTTATTTCTTTAAATTATATTCTGATTTACTGATGCAAATTTTTTATTTTGTAATTTATCTTACTGAAACCCTAAGTAATGTCTTTAAGAAACCCCAAATTACAGCTAATTTTTTTAAATGCCTCTAACGAAATTTAGATTAAGCACTTACATATACACAATTTACCATTTCCTTGAAACGATTTTGCTTATCAAAATATGCACTGAAACAATTTATGTAAATTTCTACTATTTACTTCAAGTCCTTTTTCTTATAAGATAACTCCTTTTTAAAAGCTACCTAGCATGAATTCCCAACACACTTGTTTGAGGTGGGCAGTAAATTAAGACCTCACCTGTGTGGAAGCATTCCAGCGTGTGGGTTTCCGTGTGGTAAGGACTGGTGCCCCGGCTCTCAGCTTATCGGCTGTGACCTGAGGACTCGTGTCCAGCCGTTTATAGCCTCAGTTTTCTTATTTGTAAAACGGGGGCCATCATTTCTCAGTGCTTTTCTGGACTACAAGGTCTCTGTATGAAGGACTGTATGTGCTCAATGGTGCTCCGCCCCCCTCTGGCTTTATTCTGGTGTCACCTGGAAGCTCCACTGTCAGGCATCTCATGAGAGGTGACACAGCTATCTGGCAAAGTACAACTCAGACCAGAATGTATTTGGGACTATTTATGGTCTTCCCAAAATTAAACTTTAAGGTTTCGAAACTTTGAAACAGATCCTGGGGCTCCCAAATGACTTTCAAGTCGTAACATTAAGTTTACAGATTCTCAAAAGTAACACCGAGTAGTACGGGGTTGCCATAGGCTGGACTCTGCCACTGTGACTTGCAGAAAGTCAAGCACACACTGAGGGGTGGACAGAGACAAAGAGACGAGACCAAGTGAATACTTCAGACCAACTCGCAAAGCACAGGCCTCACAGAGGCAGTCTTGCTGTTGCCACAAAGCACTGAGCTTGAATTCCTCTTGAAGCTTTAAGGGCAGAGGCGCTGCAAAGTGGGAGTTACACCTGCACAATTAGCAATGCAACGTGCTCTCTTTTCTGCCTGCCTATTTCCCCAGGTAATCAGGACAGAAGAGTGGACTCTAGCCTAAGCAGCCCACGTATGGGGTAGCTCTCCTGACGCTTACCGGCGAGGGCAGGGGGCCCCTCACAAGCCTGACAGCCCATCCAGCCATGCCCACCTGCACCTGTGGACACTCCGAGGGCCACCGTGACAACGCACCCAGACGTGCTGCCCCAGGGTAGCGGCGAGCCGTCTGCAGCTGGGACAGGGGGCTCGCAGGGCCTCTCAGCCTTCATAGTATTTAATGCAACCTTTACAGAAGCTGCAGTGCCACCAGACACATTTCAGTACTTCTCTTAGCTGACTTTCCCCTCGAAACCTAATGTGTTCATTCTTTTTAATGATTTTTAGTGACTGGATTATAACAACAAACAGGCTTGCTTTGTTATTATTTATAGCATTCACTTTACTTTCTTAATAAATCAAGGACTGTCACATCATAACAACATGAGTTAGAAAATCTACCTTTCTGCAGAATTGCTGTTAAATGTTCTCCTAAGAGCTGTTTCTCCACACACGCAATCAGCGGTTTCCTAGAAATGGAGAGAGAAAGCGTCAGAAGTTGCAGGAGAGCCTGATCAGCTACAACAGTGGGGCGTTTACGTCGATGCAGACACAGAGTGGAGTCAGTCAGGAAGCAGAGGGCTATAGGATGAGCATTTCCGTCCTGTGGACAGTCTCCGCTGCTGTCCATACACGACACCTAACAATCCACTGAGTGACGCGCGCAGACCAGCAGGCGGCCATGGAGCACAGCCCTAGGGCTGGCGGGCTCGCTGGTCCTGGGTCCCTTCTTCCTGCTCAGAGAACCACCTCTCGTGACGTCTGGAGAAGCCACCTCAGTCAGGGCTCCTCACAACCCCCGCCTGAGCCTGGAGGGGAGCCCCCTTCACCTACTGTTCCTTTGCTTGAACACTGACAGGCTCCTAAGCAAGGTATGTTTTAAGTTGAGGTTAAAATGTAGCCTATACACAAAAGCGTGTGTGTATGCACACATAAGGAGTGCAGGAGGGGCTCTGCAAACTGCCCACGGGCCAGACGCATGCCCCGGCACCCCACCTCCACCTTGAGGCCGAGTGAGCACCTTCCTAATGAGTACCGTCTGGCTTGGCCTGTTCTGAACTCCCACACATCTAAGTGGGATAATGCTACACAGAAACTATCATTAATAGAAAAAATGTCACAGACACTCAACCAAGACCTTTACCCCCCGCGACTGGACTCTCCTGGCACGAGCTGACCGGCTCCCCTCGCTCCTCCCTACTTCCTGGAAGCTCCCGCTCTGCGCCCGCCCTGCAGCCCTTCCCACTCCCAGGGGGGTCCTTACCCCCCGAGCCCTGAGCTGCCCTGTGCTGGCTGCAGAAGGACCGTCACCCTGGCTCCACAGGCATCTCAGACTCAGCGAGTCTGAAAGAGGGGTCACCCCTCTGTGGCCTCCACCTCCTTGTTCTTGAGTCATGGAGACCCGTTCCTGTCAGCTGCTGCCCCTTCCCCACCAGCAAGCAACACGTTCAGCTCATTTTCTGCTTTAGTCTCTTAGAATGTCCCTTTGTCTTCTCCCGTGTTTCTGTTCTTCTCTCTCCTCATTTGAATAAATATGTGCCTGACACAGACATTCACAATCTTTCCCCCTAACCTTTTTCCCTAGCTACTCATCAACCTGGGGTTTAGAGAAAACATTAGATGGAAAGAGAAAATAGTATGACTACCACAAATAAAAACTATAGTTACACTAAATGTGTAACTAAACATCTCTAACCCAAATTGCCTAATATTCAATTACACTCCAGTAACAGTACCTTAAGCCAAGACGCCAAGCAGCTCAGCCTGAATCATTCCTTTTGGACAGTAACTTAAGACAGGGCACCTGGTGCTGTAACTGACAGGTGCCCGGTAACCACAAATAACGTAAGTGAACGCACGCGAGTAAACATTCCCCCAGGAAGCACAGGGTGAGCCCACAGTGGCAGCGCTCACTGCAGTAACCACTGGGAAAGGTGCCTCAGATCAAACCCCAAGAACTGGACAGATGAACAGAACTCACTGTGTGCTGTGGTCCAAATATGTGATCACTCGGTCTCCTTCTTCCTCTAGACGTTTACTTACATGGTTAAGATATTCTGGAACCTTCCAAAGAGAACAAACACATCAGAAACAAAGGATTCTTACATTACCCAGGAAACAAAAATACTATTTCCCTTGTAAAATTTTAAAAAGGGCAGAATAAATTCTCAAGTCAGACATTAACACAGACTGAAGGGTGGAGTGGCGGGAAGGCGGGAAATGCATTTTAGGGGAGTGGTGTACAGTGGGAAGTCCCCTGAACTCTATTCTGGAGCACTTCATCATCATGCCCTGCTCACATGAAGGTCCTGGGTCAGAGCCCCAGCTCCCTCCTGTCACCAAGGTGCCAGGGCCAGGCAGGATCAGCACCTGAGAGCCTAATAGCACCGCCTGGCCCATTCACAGCAGGGTCAGCAAAGGCCAATCAACAGACTGGCTGTGCATTTGGGAATGTCACACAGAATGGCTGCAGATCTCAAATGAACATCCTGTTTCCAGGGCCAAAGAGCTCCCTGCTGTCCTCTGGCAGCACAGGAAAGGCCCCAGAACAGGACCTTTGAGGTTATGTCCTAGTGGTGGCAGACAGGCCTAGTGCCTAACACAGAACTCCCTCTCCAAAGCCAAGAAGGAACCAATGGTCAGGCCCAGCCTGTGCAGAAATAAGAGACATGTGGGCGATGGTCCCAAGGACTCCCTTTGGACTTGAACACCCAAGGAGTTGGTCATCTTGTTTTTTGAGTTCACGCTGTTTCATGAGGCTTTCAATGCCTTGCAGGATGAAGAATTTTAATGTGTTAGATTTATCTTTCATATTTAATAGGTACCTTTCACCCACATGCTTCACTCTGAGCTCCTTAAGTATTTCATAAGCTATCTTACCGATTTTTTTATTTGGGGTGAAGACAATAGAAGTGTTTCTAAGTTAGGGGAAAGAAATTAAGCCTTTACTATAATAAAAATGAAGCTCATTACTGGGGATCTTAGTTAGACTGTAGTTCTTGGAAGATTTTCGATGAAAAGTCTGCACATGTGGGAAGACATGCTAGGGTTGACACTCAAACATGCATTCACAAAAATGGGAACCCCCCCCATTGCCTCACCTCTCTTTCTTGCATTAGCCTCTGGCCTTCTGCAGCATATAAACAATTAGTTTCTTCCAAAAATTTCAATTCAAATGAGTCTTTATATACCTAAGAAATGAGCAGTTATTGATTACAGTAAAAAAAACCCTACCTTTTGAAGTGCTGACGTATCTCAGATGTCAAGGCAGTGCGCCGCACTGGCACCCAGCCTGTACCTGCGGCTCCCGGCTCTGCTGGCCCCGGAGGCTCAGCTGGCCCCTGCTCGGCTGCTGCAGCGTGGCCACCCCACTGTGCTCTCAGCAGGCCCTTGGCTCTGTGGAGCCCAGGTCCTCCAGGGGAAGTGTCCGCCTGCAGCCAGGCCCCTTCCAGGGACTTAAAACATCTCCCATATTTTCAACACATGTTTTTACAATTACATTTTTTACATTGAAGTCTTTGACACATCCATTTATTTTGGTGTAGTCACTAGGCAGGGGTCTAGGTCTTTCCTCATCAATTATTAAGAAGTGCAGGTACATGGGGAAGAAGGAGGCATTTACCTGAAGGTCAGAGAGCATGCTCAGCAGGCCTCGCAGCAAGCTCCGGTCCACAGCTTCACCATTTCTCTCTCGTTCGATTAATAGTAGAATGCCATCAATAGTTTTACTCTGAACCATTCTGTCACTAATGATATGGTTTCTAAATAGTTCTAATCCCATATCCCTGCATAAATGGTAAAACAAAACTGCATTTCAGTCTCACTCTCTACAGGCAGTAGGTGAGGCTGCAGCCATACTGTGACTAGGACCACAGGGGACCTGCTGACTCCAACTCCAGGCACCCAGGGTCCCTTCAACTGTAAATTTTGGCCCATCTGGGGTGCCTGCCATCTCCTTCCTTCCAAGCACCTGTCACAGAGTGCTGAGCAAGGCCTCCCTGGTCAGGCATGCCGCTGAAAAGGACATTAATATTGCAACCCTGCCACCTCAGCCCGCGGCTCCCACCATCCTTCCTAAGGGAGTGACAGGGACACCCAAGGCTTCCTCAGTGGCTAGAGCCCAGAGCCACAAGGGCGAGGAGCTCCCAACTCACACCATTTTAGAAGATGAAGCATGACATGCCTGCGGCTGGGCAGTGGGATGGGGCAGTGTGGGGGACTTTGGGACCCTGGGGTGGCTACCTCACCAGGAGCTGATCTGTGTTTCACCAGAGCCCCAGAAGGAGTTGCTCTGGGCTCAACTCCAGCCGTGGGAGAGTAACTGTGTTGCTGAGCCTCTCACAGCAGAGGGTGAGTGGCGCAAGTGGCTCCAGAGGGTCCTGAAGTCCAGAGCCCCACGGCAGGGCTCCTGTGCTCGCCTTCCACCTCTGCTGTGACTGGCCAGGCAAGGCAGAGATGTGCCAGAGCTTGCCCCTCCTGGGCATAGCCAGCCCTGGTGATGGGGACACTCCAGGGCTAAGATGCACGTGGGCCGACTGGTGCACTAGTGGCTTTGGCTGACACAAGATCACAAAGGGCCCTGTACCAGCGACAGAGGGAACAGCGGCCAACACCACTGAGATGCACAGCTGGGTCGTGCGGCAGTCACAGCTCCTCTGGCTGGGACACTCACCAGACAGAGGGAAGCATGGAGTTCTGGAGGACGTAAGTGCGGTCCAAAAACAGAAAGATACTTCTGATCATGATCTGGCAATTAGAAAAGGATTACTCATTCATCTGACAAAACATTCAAGGCCAGGCCTCTGAGCTATAGCCGTGTTGTCTTTCAGCCACAATGACTATTTCTCAATGAAACATTTCCATCAAGACGCTCAGAGGGGATTTGCTCCTAAATTTAATGGTGTCTGATTTTCATCTTTCATCCAGAAAATGTGACTGTGGGTTTTACAGCACACAGCCTAAAGGATGCCTCTGAGGTTCGGTCATTTCCTGACTGATACGGTAAAGCTCAGTGCGCTCGGCAGATGCTCTAAGCTCTGTAAACAACCAGCTGGGCAGGTCAGTATGAGGCCCCTGGCCACACAGGTGCGTCTGGCTCCCCCTTACAAGCACAGCGAGGAGGGCGCAGGGCACTCGGCTGGCCCCTCTGCTGGGCTAACAAGGCTGCTGTCTCTGTGACTCTCTTGGCACAGCGCTGACCAGACTCTCCTGGGAAGATTTGCTCAGGCCTGAGAAGAAAGCCTCCCCAACAGGCACCCGTCTATTTCCACCGTCTGCAAGATCCCTGGAAGAAATGCTCATTCCCTGAGACTGCATTTATGAAACAGAAGTTCAACCTGCCTAGGAAAGCTCTTGACACTATCTTTTCTCTCACACAGTTAACAGCCAGGTCACACTAAAAACTCACACATCAAATCAAATCAAATCAGAGTCGATGTATCTAAGATGTTGCTTGTTTAGTTAGAATTAAGTTCTGGAATTCAGGCTTGATTTATCAGGCATAAACTAGGATTCAGGAAAAACTGAGAGACTCATTCAGGAGGTGTGGTACTAGTGGGCTATCTGTCAGGGGGTCTGAAGGCCAAGTTAGCAGCCAGCCCCAGCTGGAAGAACAGAGGTCACCTTCCCTGCTTCGTTCTGCCAACTGTGTGGGAACCAGACAGCAGCATATGACTCACACAGAACCCTGAGCAGACCTGCCCTGTCCCAGCTCACGAGCTGGTGCACACCTTCTTAGGGAGGCGAGGGAAGATGCATGAGGCCAGGTTTTGACTAAAAAAGGAAAAAAAGAGAGTGGGCCTCACAGAGGGCACACAACCCCAGCTGCTCCAGTCTCCCAACTGTCTAGCTAAACCCAAAAAGGAGGTGTGCAGATGCGACGAGACCCAGGCAAGTGCAGTGCAGATAGGATCAGCAGGGTAAGAAAGTCAGTATGCTTACCATTTGTCTGCAGTGGTCTTGCCAACATGTGTTAATCTTCTTTAAAAATAAAACGCTATCTAGTGAGTCTGTGCAGACCTGCTAAGGAAAACTGTGGAAATACTGGCCAATTATTGCTGTTTCGACCCCTGAATCTATCTCAGCTCTCCCAGACACAGAAGACTGCACGTCCTTTAGGTATCACAATACTGAAGACCAGAAGCTCAAAAACCGTGAGCGTGGGCTTTCTCACCTTCCACCTCACCACCCGTTGTAGAAGCCTGCCCGCAGGCCCGTCTCCCACCTCCTGCCCCTCCCCTTTCCTTGTACTCTAGGCCAGGTTACTTTCAGAGCCCTGCAAGCTGAAACTAACACCCAGGCCATGGGCTTCGAGGGGCAGATCCTAGCCCTGACTCCTGGGGATGCTGGTCCGGGGACAAGGAAGCAGGCCCGCTGCTATGAGCACTGAGACCATCAGCCAGAGGAAAAGCAGAGGCTCGACCCTTACTTCCAGTCTTGGAGACACGTGACAGGGGGTCTCCTTCGTACACCCAATCAGGGATCTCAGTTCCACTCTTCGATGTTTTTAAAGAGAAGCTCAAAATGCTGTTTATAGGAAAAAGATAACCAAGTACAGGCCCCAAAAGCAAGGCACAGCAAAAGCCTGGAGAGCCACCTTTGCAGGCTTATGCAGCGGTCGTTAACATCGCCACGCTGTCAGGCAGGCTCATTTTACCTCCCACTGTGGGCACAGCCCTTACTCCTTTTGCACAGACGAACAGAATGGCTTGTTGGGGTGCAGAAATGGGTTTTCAAGGCTTCTCAGCTCCGGGGCATGGGGCAGCGATGACCTTTGCTGGCCTCAGCCTCGCACATGTAGCAGAACACACACTTCAGAGAGCTCTGGTGGGGTCCAACGCAAGTTAGCACAGAGAGAGAAGCCAGTGTGTGCCCTGGAAAATCAGACAGGTAGAGTCTTCAGCTGTGGGGAGGCCTGCTGGGGAATGCAGGACACACAGGTAGCTGCAGAAGGCCAAGTACCAGCCAGGACTCTGGGAAGGGACAGAAGAGGAGCAGGACCCTTGTCATACTAGTTTGGTGACTGACCATAACCACAGGGGCTCTGCATATCTTATTTTCTTGAGGTTTTGCTAATAAATTAAAAATTGACAGAGCAAAGAACTAACAGCTGAATGGTTGGTGAGTCATTCTGGACATTCTTTCATTACTGGTCAAAGTCAGGATGGGCCGCTGTCTTAGAACCTGGCACAGTTTGAAAACACAAGCCAGGGGTCAATCCCAGGCACACGCAGACAGGTGCGTGGTAGCAGTGCTCCAGCCCCTCACCGTGCTGCAGACAGCTGGCCAGTGTTCAGACAGTCCGCCCAGTGGGCAGGCAGCACAGGGTCAGCCTGTACCGACCCGAACACCACCAGTGGCTCCGGTGCCCCCTGGGTGGCAGCAAGCTGCCTGGCACGGGCTCCACACTGGTGGAAGGGCCTGCACACGGGGGACAGCATCTGGGCATTCCCCGAGCTCCAGCCTTCTGGGTGGGAAGCCAGTGCAGGCGTCACAGGCACATGAGCACCGCCAGGGCGCAGACATGCTACCAGCCTGGCAGCTGGTTCTCCGCACAGGTCCCCGTAGCCGGCCCTTCACTCCATTCTGAGAAGGGCCGGTCCTTGTTCGTTAAAGGGTTTACACTGGCAAATCTTCACACAACCAACCAAAATCCAGCAGCAAAATGATCATAATACACCATGGAACAAATGACAAAGATCTGAGACTTGTTCCTAGAAACAGAAGAAACGAGGAAGACAGTGCTTACACTGGGGCAAGAGAGTGACAGGCCCTATTACCCCATGTTTTCTAAACCTGGTCATCCTGCTTCTCTAATCCCAGCACAGACAGGGACACCTGAGCGGCCCTGTGGCACCAGACAGAGCCCAGACAGCAACGGCCCGGCATCCCACCACATCAGTAGTGGTCATGCACCGCCTGCCATTCCTCACTTACATCAGGTCCCTTTGTTAAGGCTGCTAGGATTAACTTCTTCCTTCACAGTATTTATCAAAGCTCTTGTTCTAGACTCTTTCATCATGGCCTCCCTCAGCAGCACAGCCTCGAATCCCGCCAGTCCAGGCTCCAGGCACACACCACCTACAGCAGGCTGTCCTGACCCTTCTCACGCTCTGCTCTCTGGTGCCTCATGCATCCTCGGAGGCAGTTCCAGCAGCGCCTCCTCTGGGAACCGTGTCCCCAGCACTTCACTACTGCAGTTCCTGTCCCAGCGTCGACGGTTTCACACTTATGAACTCAAGAGGCTTCATGCTAATAGGGACAATGAGTATAGTGCAGCGTCTTATCTTTCTTCTTTCACACCATCAAGGACATACAGTAATTCCTTTCCCTCTGTCTTGGTGTCTCTTGGAGGACAGAAATCAGGTGTGGCAGTCATTTTTCCATTTTCTAGTATAGTAGACAGGAAATAAGTATTTGTTGCTGTGAATCAATGCACATTTGTGCAACCCACAGGGTAGGATTAACTGGCAGGAGGCTAACTGGAGTAGGTAATAAAAAACCAGTCTCCAGTCAGCTGGGACAACCATCAGATTAGGACACATCCCACTGGCTCACCCTGTAAGCACCTATGTGGAGAGAAGCTTTGGGAATCTGCTGAGGGCTCCTGGCAGCCTGGGAGTCAGGGTATTTTCAGATGCCAAAATCCTGGACTGGCTTCCTGTACTCACCATCCAGCCCCTGGGATTCCTGAGTTGGGGTACCAAGCCAGGACAGGCACCTATGTATGCCCTCAGAGGATGCCTCTGTGATGTGGGACACACTGGCCAAGTTCCAAAGGTGTGGGCACCATTGTCCTGAATGACCCCATAATCTTTAGGACAAAGCTTTCCCAGAGAAGACCACAGGTGTATTCAGATGGCAACACCACAGAGCCAGAACCAACTTCACTCGCCCATTTGTGGGAGCACTGCAAACACTGTCCTAAGTGGAGACACCTCACTCTGGCATTATCGTGATGGGTCACCGAGAGCCTGCACCCCAGACAAGGGGGTGGCGCACTGCCCTAAGGGAGAGTCCAGAGCTCTAAATGCCTCTGTTTCTCAGTATGGGGAGACTTAGAAACAAGCAGGCCCCTGTTGGAGCCAAAAAAAGGATATTCTCTGAACTGAAGAATCTGACCTCACGCATGAAGACAGCGGCCCAGGAAAGGGCGTCATTAAGCTGCCTGCCTGCCTCCATACATCGACTTCTCATTCCTACCAGTGGGTGGTGGGGGACTAGACTGAGGGACTGTAAAGGATTGTCTACAGGATGCTAAGGGGCTTGGTTTCCCTGGTGGATCTCTGGTCACAGATGGTGGGGCAGCAAACTTCTAAGATACCCCAGCCCCTGAAGGCGTGCGATACCCCCTTGCCTGTGATTGGGCGGGGCAGCGGGGGGGAGGGGGCTGTATGATGGACCCATCACATGAAACTCTTAGCAAACAAGAGGTGGAGTCTCCTGCCAGCCTAGGCACAAACAACCATGTCACTGGAAAAGGGGTCTCCTGGCAAGAAGTCAGGGGTAGCCACTAGGGCCCCAGGATGACCTCAGCCCTATGGCCAAGGGAGCTGAACTCTGCCAACACTTGAGTGAGTATGGGTGACAAACTCAGGGGAGACTACAGGCCTGGCCAACACTCTCATTTCAACGCGAAGCCCTGAGCAGAGCCCCAGAGCCCAGCCCCGACTCCCCGCCTGCAAGCTGTGGCCTGACAAATGGGTGTTGGCTTACATCGCTACACCTGTGGGAATTTGTTACACATCTTAGAACACTGACACAGATGGTTTAGAAGAATACAGGATAGCAGACCTCAAACTTGAAGACATTTTTCAGAACTTTTTATAAATACTTCAACCAGACCCAATAAATGGACACTGCTCTAATTAGATCAGCAAAGTAATGTAAATAGTAAAAATTCCACTTAAAAAAACTCTAATATAGTGGGTCATGAAACTAATGTAAGGTTTTTGTTCCATAATAAACAAAAGGAATTTAATAAGCTGCATCTTTAGTGTTAAGGATACTCATTAGTTCCTTATCTTATTAATATTCAGTTTCAAATGATCAGGTAATAAATAGAAACTTCATGGAGCCAAAAAAAGGATATTCTCTGAACTGAAGAATCTGAGCTCGGACACGATCCTCACAGACCTGGCGCAGCTGTTTGTACAGTGTCGGAGACACTTTGTGAGAACAAAGATTTTCAACAGCCTAAAAACAAAAGGAATAAATGAATTACTGTGAATAACACATCAGTCCTTTCTGCACATATTTCCATGTATAGCCATAACTGTAACAGAAAGGCACCCCCCATACTTTGCAATACACAAGTACACTATTACATTTAAGCTTAGGGCAGTTATTGCTGGAACACCGGAATCCAAAACACTTTTGTAAAAATGGGGTGCAACAATAGCTAACATACACCACAGACCCAACAGCACACCTCCAAGAGACCTGGGCCCCTGGGACCCAGGAGGCTTTCCTGAACTACGTCTGAGCATCACAAAGCCCTCCACTTTTGTCCTAGTGCACTAGTCCCAACACCTGGCTGCAGACCGCCATCACCCAGGGACAGCACAACTGGTCTGACCCCAACGGCTATGTTTCTGGATGTTCTGATTCTCCAGTTGGAGGTGGAGGCCACAGGAATTTGTGGTGAGTTTACCCTGAGAATTGTGATGTGTCACTGCTCTAGATGTTCACCGACCGCCTTCTAAACGGGCAGGAGGACAGGGATGCAGCACCCTTCCCTCTTACTAGCACAATGGACCTGCCTAAGAGCTGAAGGGAAGGCATCCCGGCAAAACACTTGGGTGACAGAGGTCAGGTGGCACCATCTCCTACTTATGTCTGCAGGCAGATGTGTAATCTACTTATGTTTGTCTTAATAGTGAAATAAGCTTTTGAGGCAGAAACATTTTTCTTAAAATATGTTTATCCACATCAAAGAAATAATATTTGTATATTCCTACTAGTTCTAATAAAATTTCCTTTCAAATCTTATTCAATACAAATATGACATACTAAAAACAGAAATGTAGTTTTTCTATTGACTAGTTTTGAACCATTTAAAAAACATGGGGGGATATAACTTTAAGCTCTACTACAAAGTCACAGTAATCAAGACAATTTGGTACTGGCACAAGAACTGACCCATAGACCAGTGGAACAGACTAGAGAGCCCAGAAAGTAACCCAAGCATATATGGTCAATTAATATATGATAAAGGAGCCATGGACATACAATGGGGAAATGACAGCCTCTTCAACAGCTGGTGTTGGCAAAACTGGACAGTTACATGTAAGAGAATGAAACTGGATCACTGTCTAACCCCATACACAAAAGTAAATTCAAAATGGATCAAAGACCTGAATGTAAGTCATGAAACCATAAAACTCTTAGAAAAAAACATACGTAAAAATCTCTTGGACATAAACATGAGCAACTTCTTCATGAACATATTCCCCGGGCAAGGGAAACAAAAGCAAAAATGAACAACTGGGACTATATCAAGCTAAAAAGCTTCTGTACAGCAAAGACACCATCAATACAACAAAAAGGCAACCTACAGTATGGGAGAATATATTTGTAAATGACAGATCCAATAAAGGGTTGACATCCAAAATATATAAAGAGCTCACGCACCTCAACAAACAAAAAGCAAATAATCCAATTAAAAAATGGGCACAGGATCTGCACAGACACTTCTCCAAAGAAGAAATTCAGATGGCCAACAGACACATGAAAAGATGCTCCACATCGCTAATCATCATAGGAATGCAAATTAAAACCATTATGATATATCATCTCACACCAGTAAGGATCGCCACCATCCAAAAGACAAACAACAACAAATGTTGGTGAGGTTCTGGAGAAAGGGGAACCCTCCTACACTGCTGGTGGGAATGTAAATTAGTTCAACCATTATAGAAAGCAGTATGGAGGTTCCTCAAAAAAACTAAAAATAGAAATAACATTTGACCCAGGAATTCCAAGCCTAGGAATTTACCCTAAGAATGCAGGAGCCCAGTTTGAAAAAGACGGATGCACCCCTATGTTTGTTGCAGCACTATTTACAATAG